CCAGAGGAAACCTAAGGACAAATCAGTAAATCGCTCTACACGAAAGCGGAGAACATACTTGAGCTGTTCTCTAGGCTTATCCGGGTTATACCAGCTGACTGAAAGCACCTTATCGTACTCCTCAAGGCTCTTAATAGGCATCGGCATGTAGTCATCAGTTGAGACGATTTCGAGGAAGTCCTCAGCAAACCGGTGCTTGAGGAGTTCGGAGTACTTTTCGAACAAAGTGAGTAGCAACGTGTTCATCGCTGATACGGAATAGCCCCATTTCTCCATGGTCAACATGAAGAGCACAATGCGGCCCTTGATCTTCAACAAAAGATCATCATTCTTCACGGACGAGAGATTACTGGAGATGAGTGTTATGGCGCTTTGACACAAAGAGTCCCATAGCTCGTCGACCTGGTTTGATCAGAAAGCTGCCGACGCGTCTCCATGCTATAACTTACGTCTGTTTGCTGCCTGAAGTTCTGCGTCTTGGCAATTGTTGCTTTCTCAATGATAGCAAAACCTGCGATACTCTCTAGTAAGCTGCTCAGATCTCCACACTCTGGGTCCAACAGATTGAGGGTCGCGGGCAGCAGTAGGTCCTTCTGTTCTCGTCGGGTAGCCGCGTATGTCGACTTGAACTGATCACTTCTGCCCAGGGTTTCGTGTATGTGCATAGCTTCGAACAGAGGTGTGAACTCGATTTGCAAATCGGTCTCTTCATTGTTCAGAATGTCGAACTCATCCGTCTCATCAGCCACGAGCTCCACAGCCGAGTTCAATTTGAACTTGGCGAATCGCTCATCAGCCTCCGCACGAGCTTGGTTTCTCGACCGTCGCACATCTGTGTAGTAGAATGCGATCTCGCCCAGGAACTGTGAAGACTCTCGGATGCGGAAAAGCCATGTATTGAGGTCGGCCATAACTGCGTCGGCTATCATCTTCTGGGTCATAGGCACGGATTTCTCGATCATCTCTGCGATTTTGTAACGACTGATCTCCTTCAGGTGGATTGTTTGCAGCTCATCGAGCGCTCGTAGTGCGCCATAGTGATTCTTTTCCCTCAGAAGGTCCACAACTTGGTTCGCCAGCCGTAACACATTGAGGCATGCGTTTAGTGCCTGATTCGCTTCGGCAATGTTCTGCCTCACACTTCGAGAGTCGACCAGTGCCTTCTTCTGTGCTGCTAGTTTCTCAATGCTCTTTTGTATAGACTCATTGAGTTCAAGGATCTCGGTGGTCATGTTGACGGAGCCCTCTCGAACCTCGAGCAAAGAATTCACGGATGTGATAAATTCTTGGTGATTAGCGTTGCAGATGCGCTCGATCTCCTTGTTGCGGTTTTCTGAGAACTTGCTGAAGACCTGCATCAGTTGGTGTGAATAACGAGGGTCCTTCATCAGAGGCACGAGCTGTTCTATGTAGTCCGAATCCGAGGAGGATTGTGACATCTGCAAATGTAAATAGCTTTTCACGGGCTACAGGATTAATGTACCTGTTTGATAGCCATCCAGAGGTCATCTCTGGGGTCTACAGCGGAAGGCATGATGGCTGGATTTCGGGGTCGGACACCCTTAGTTCTGACTCATCTAGCTCCTTAATGTGATACAATTTTCTCCTCAGACGGAATCAAGCGGGGAACGCGAAGTTGATGGTCGATATCTCCAAGGATAGGTATGCACCATCTCCTTGCACGATGTAAGCTTAGCTGCTTCACCTGGGCAGCGGGGCCACTTCGGGCTAAGCCCCAACGCCAGGTCTACTTGAGCTAGCGTCGAACTCCGCGGCCGATGACGGGATTACCCCACCGGAGATAGTGATGACTGAGTGGGGTGCCAGGGTGCTACATATTTTCCTTTTCCACCTCACAGTTCTTCCAGACATCCCCATTCACGCAGAAATTCATCATGGAGACCATCATCAGTACGCTGGAGATGCCTATCATTCTGAGACAGACTAACATTCTGCAGACAAGTTCGAAACCGTGCTGGGGACAGCTCCCACCAAGTGAGTATCGATGGCTCGCACCGGAACATGCGCCGCGGTGGCGCCTCGCCATCATGGTCAATTGAAACTATTGAGTACCCTTGATGCTAACTTGCCCCCAGATCCGTGCTCCTTCTCGGTGCCGGCTTCGTGTAAGTGTCACTTCAACCTTGCAGAGCTTTGTATTAAGTGCCACAGTACCCGCCCCACTGCCGAGATCCTTGGAAACTCCGGCATCAAAGTCGTGGTTGCTTGCAGGACACTAGAGAGGGCGAAGACTCTCGCCAGCGGCATCAAGAACGCTTCGGCGATCAGCGTAAGCCACCTTCCAACATGAGCGTACAACAAGCTGACCTCAATTCAAGCTCGACGTCAATGACGCAGATGCCCTCGACGCTGAGGTTGAGAAGGTGGACGTTGTCATCAGCTTGATCCCCTACACATACCACGCCATTGTTATCAAGTCCGCCATCCGCAAGAAGAAGAATGTGGTCACCACTTCATACGTCTCTCCCGCCATGATGGAGCTCGATCAGCAGGCCAAGGACGCTGGCATTACCGTCATGAACGAGATTGGTCTTGATCCCGGAATCGACCACCTCTCAGCTGTTCTCACCATCGATGAGGTGCACAAGGCAGGCGGCAAGATCCTCTCGTTCCTTTCATACTGCGGTGGTCTTCCCGCCCCCGAGAACTCCGACAACCCGCTTGGTTACAAGTTCTCTTGGAGCTCCAGGGGTGTTCTTTTGGCGCTCAGGAATGCCGCCAAGTTCTACAGGGACGGTAAGATCGTTGAGGTTGAGGGACCGGAGCTGATGGCAGAGGCCAAGCCCTACTTCATCTACCCTGGCTATTCGTTCGTCGCCTACCCCAACCGTGACTCTACCCCGTACAAGGAGAGGTACAACATTCCCGAGGCTCAAACCATCATTCGCGGCACTCTCAGATACCAGGGTTTCCCCGAATACATCAAGGCTCTTGTCGACATGGGCTTCCTTTCCGACGAGCCCAAGGACTTCCTTAAGGAGGGTACCAAGCGCACCTGGAAGGACGCGACTGCGAAGATCCTGGGCGCTACCAGTGACAAAGAGGAGGATCTGGTCTGGGCCATCAGCAGCAAGACCAAGTTCCAAAATAACGAGCAGAAGGACCGCATCCTTGACGGATTGCGATGGATCGGGTTGCTCTCTGACGAGGAGATCAAGGCTCGTGACAACCCGCTCGACACCCTTTGCGCCACGCTTGAGGACAAAATGCAGTACGAGGAGGGTGAGCGTGACTTCGTCATGCTACAGCACAGGTTCATCATCGAGAACAAGGACGGCAGCAAGGAGACCCGCACATCCACGCTCGCCGACTACGGTGACCCCAAGGGCTACAGCGCCATGGCCAAGCTTGTCGGCGTGCCTTGCGCCGTCGCAGTGCAGCAGGTCCTTGATGGAACCATCAGCGAGAAGGGCGTCTTGGCTCCGATGTCGCCTGAGATCTGCAGGCCGTTGATGAAGACGTTGGAGGACAAGTACGACATCAGGTTCAAGGAAAAGACGATCAAATAGGTTCAACAGGGTTTGGGGCAAAATGTCGCCCTCAAAAGGCGTTCGGCACTAAAAGCATATAGACAAAATGCAAAGTAGGAATTGTGGGGACTCAAGTCATACGGTCCCGAAGTGCCGCAGCTGCAGAAGTGTATGTTCGCTTAACGCTAACGAAATATGGATATGTCGAGTAGAAGCTCATTCCAGCAAGCCTATCAATCCAATGCTGGTGTTGAAAGCGTGCCAGGCTTCTTATCCTTTTTCCCTCCTCCCATTCCGCCCATGAACATGTTGCCCAGCATATCCATCATGGGGTTCCCTTGGCTCGGTATCTTGATGTTGAAGTACGCCTCTCCTATCGAATCCAAGGCATCATCCCAGTTGGTTTCGCTCAGATTCGAAGCATAGTGACTCCGCAACTGGCGATAGAGTGCCGCCTCTCCTCTCTCAACTGCAAGCAGCAGAAGCCCAAGGAAGTTCAACAACGGCAGGCTAGGGTATACCCTCAGATCAGAAGACTGTGTCGACACTTCTTGGACGCCCAAGTTCGCCTTCTGTGACAGCTTCGACGTGAAGATGAGGAAGAACTTATTCGCGGCACGTAGGTTTCCACCGAGAAGGTAAGGAAGTACGCCTCGTGCGGCATACAGCGGTGCGGTGTGCGAGTCGTCGGCTTCGTACCACGAGTACTCAAGCTGCGCGAGGGTTTCAGGCGAGTCCTTTGTACCCAGAACAAGATGCCGCTCCGCCTCATACGGCTCCAAATCTGCTTCTCATTAGCTCTCACTCAAACACCCGTAGCACACCACATACCCTCAGCAAACAGACTGCCCGCCACATGATGCATTTCCGGGTCGCCCGCCGGATACTCTCCGACCTTTGCACTCCACGCCAACATCTCATTCACAAACTTCTTCCTCGTAGGTTCATTTTTGGGAAACGCACGCAGCAAACTCAACAGCTTCCCTTTACTCGCTGCATCTGGCTTCACTTCCGCCTTTTGGAACACTTCCAGTAGGAATATACATAGATCGCCGCCTGATCCGCCTTGCCCGGCTTTGAGCAGCGATTGTGCGCCTTGGAAGAGGATGTCGGTCGCGGCGTCCCAGTTCGACTGCTTCACGTAGCGGGCGGCGATTACGCGGAGTTGTTGGTGGGCTTCGTAGAACTGGCCTTCGGCGATTCTGGGGGGTTGTTAGAAGAGGGTGTGTGGGATGGGCGGGGAAAGCTTACTTTTGCTGTTGGCGCTGGATCGTCTTCTCTATCTTCGACATCTTGGACGTGGGGCCTTGTGTATGTTCTGTGGTGAGCAAGCTGGAGGTGCGGGCGGGCGAGGTTGTGCTGGAGCTTAAGATGACGCACAGACTCACCCCTCCACCAACATGCCTCCTTCTCTGCTAGATGGTATTTTACCTATAGAAGTTTAAGTATGCAGCCAACTTTACATCCATCCAACACAAGCGCAGTGGTCCACTGCACTTAGGATTCGTCCTCCGCTTGGTGTAGTTGGTTTATCACGTTCGACTGTAATATCTATCTGCTATCGAAAGGTCCCTAGTTCGATTCTGGGAGCGGAGAACATTTTTTTTTATTTGGCTCGCAAAGTTCATCGCTTGGTTCCTTTTTTGCTGGCCGATGCTGGGGCATCTGACTAATTAGCTATCAAGTGTGTGTTTATTATATATGTATATGTCTTCATGGTCGATTCCTTACATTATAAAACCTCGCCGCCATCAACAAGGCAGACCGATCTTTATGCTCCATTCGCGGAGTGAGGACAGACATGTATTCGTGTCGTGCATGTATGTATGTATATATATATATACACATCCGAGACTGCACAGCAACCTTAGCATTTGAATCATTTCAAAAAGCTCGTATTCGTTCATGCCCTCACAGATAAGCGGACGACATGTGGTCTGGAACACTGCAATCAATCGGTGGAGATGTAAGTGGTGATGTTTGAACATCATGACCTAGGTGGTGGAGCATCAGACGGAATAGTCGGGTACGAGGCGGAAGGAACAGGAAATAGCGGAGCAACACTGAGGTAGCAAATGCAAAATCAACATCAATAATTCAAGTTCCGTCGCGGCAGAAGAAAAAAGAAAGTTACACAAAGACACAAACACAAACATCTCCCATCAGCGCGCATCCATCTCGCTCACAAGCGAAGCCAGAAACGGCAGAAGCGAGGAGAGCGACCAGGGTGGGGGCAAGGCGAGGCGCAGCCGTCACCGGCACGCCCTGCTCCAGTCTTCCGCCCCAACAACAAATCCCGAGCTTGCAGCGCACCAGCGCTCTCGAAACCCCAACGCCCCCGAACCCCCGTCGCGACAGCAAAGGCCCACGACGGCCACCGCATTTCCATCACCTAACCACCCCACCACCCATCGGAATATTCGCTGCAAGTACCTAAAACGACAGCTCTCGTCGCCGCGAAACCGAAAATCGCGGTTTCTGCAATTTTCGGCGCGTCCTGCGCTCACGGCGTCGCTTGCACCGTCTTTTTCGACGCCCGCGAGCCGCCTTTGTAGCAACCGTGGCCGCCTGAGCGCACCGTGCAGGCCGCCCTCCGGGCTGTCGTCTGCGCACCCCGTTCTCACGGCTGCGCGCGCGAAAATCTCTGCGTCTGCAGCCTCCGCTAGCGCCGTCGACTGGACATCATGACACAGCGCGTTACGGAGAAGCGCTTTCGCCAGCGCAAGCTGTCGACCAAGCAGAACCTGCCTATTCTCCGTGAGAATGAGCTCGAGGCCGCTCCCCTCGACGATGACGCGACCCGGCACATTCCCAAGGTCGAAACGGGCGTCGAAAAGGGGGAGGAAGTCGTAAGTTGCCTCCCGCGCTAAGCCGCTTTCGTCAATCTCCATCACTGTCGTTTCTTTGACATCCGGCGCGCTGAACTGACGCGACCCACGTGATCGTGAACTACCACTAACTTGGTGCAATAGGAACACCATCTGCAGGCCGTCATCTCGGCGGCCCAAGCAGCAGCCCAAGGCGGCGGGAAGATCGCACAGCTATACATCCCCACCCCTGATGCTGTCGCCAGTAAGCTTCAGTATGAGGAACTCTATCCCAGACGATTCGTCCAGCCTACCACCTACATCCGCTTTTCCTCCACTGTCGAGGATACCACTGGATGCCCCTATTGCATGACGAGTGATGATGTTGCCTTCCTCAAAGTCTACAACCAGAAGCGTCCGAGAAACGCACAATGCTCCGAAGACGAGTTCGAGGAGGTCATGTACTTCTTCGAGGAGACGTCGCACAGGAAACAGCCGTACGCCAGCGTAGACAACACGCCCGTGTTATCGTACGAAGAACTGGAAGCCGAGTTCGACGAGACCATCAGTGAATCCGCAAGGCGGTTCGCTAAGGACATCTACAGCAACCACTGGAAGAACCAACGACTGCTGAAAGGCAATCGACCCCTGATACCATCTCTCAAGTTCGAGACAAACATTGAGACGGATGATTCTGACCCGTATGTATGCTTCCGGCGACGCGAGGTACGGCAGGCCCGCAAGACGCGTGGCAGAGATGCACAGGTGACGGAGAAGCTCAAGCGTCTGCGGAAAGAGCTTGAGGAGGCTCGTTATCTTATGTTCCAGGTCAAACGGCGAGAGGAGATGATTCGAGACCAGCTTGCCCTGGATAAGTGCATATTCGAGCAGCGTACCGCGCTCAAGGAGATAAAGAGGAAGCTTTCCACCAAGGAGAGTGACGAGGAACTCCTAATCAACCAAAAGGTAGCACCCCTTCTGTGCGTCTTTTGGACGAGGAGACTAACAGTACCCCAGCCGGCACCGAAACCCAAACCAAGAGTCGATACTCAGACCATCCGGGTGGGTCCTCCTGGTATGGCCTCCAAGCTGCCAATCACCCGTCCAGATGGCCGCATCTTTGATCAGGATCTCGTGTATTTCGATGATCAGTTGGCGAAGAAGGCCGAAGTCATCGAGACCTTCGTGGAAGACCATGTCCGCAAACACCAGAAATGGAACGAAGGATATGTCGACGACACATGGCGCCCTATGACACCCCCGCTTGAACATCCTGTTGCCAAATCGGACTTCCGGCACGTCTTGGTTGAAACCCAATTGATAACGCCACCGTCATCCGCAGAAGGCGGCCATGCGGGCGCTGCAGACAGCCAAGAGGGAGCTCAGCAGCTGGCCATTCAAGATAACGCTGCTCGCATCCTGGTTGAGGCTCCCCGCAGTGATGTTCCGTGGCTTGAGCTTCCCCGGTTCCGTCTAAGAATCGGTCGGGGTGGCCGCATGATGATGGATCGTCGTGGAATAAAACGGCCCAAGTGCGAACCCGTCGATGAAAGAGTCGCAGATAGATACCGGTTCGCGGGCGACAGCAGTGAAGACGAGGAGGAGTATCCTACCGACTGGACTGACGATCTCAACACCCGTTACCGGATGATGATCGAGCGTTCAGGCGATAAGCAAGCCCAGGCCCAGGCTCAAGCCCAACAGTATGCGCAAAACATGCGCGCCATCGAAAACAATCATAGGTCGGCATCCGGCCACTTAATGCCGCCAACAAAGGCGGGCTAGACGTGATAATTGCCCTCAGCGGGCTGTTATTTATATTTCAGGGATCTGTTGTTGGGAGCAAGGAGTTGTTATACCCCGTTGTTTTTTTGCCCATAGGGAGAGGCGCAAAGAGGCCGGTGCCTCGTCATGTATATTATTCCAGGGGTCGCGGAGGGAGTCGTCGGGCGAGGCGCTAACCAGTATGTGGTGCTCGCAAGATATGCGAATCTTCAAAGATCATCCTTATGAATGCACCTTCCCCTGCGCATTGTGATGTGACGAGCGGCATCATCTCCTGGCCTTTTGCCTCCTATCCGACACATCGAGATTGTCTTGTCGACCTCTCTTGCCAGCGCCATTGCTGCTCAACTGGTTTACAATACCAGCAAGTGCCTCCTCTGCTGAGCGCAAAATCTTCTTTTCGCCGATGCGCACCAGTCTAGCCATGGCGTAACGGCGCTCCTTCGACATGTACGGGCCGGTGGTGGGGGCCCGGACCGGCTCGCTCAGATCCTGCTCCAGGGATGTGGGATATTGCTCAGTTCGTGCTTTGACGATGCGTCGTAAGCATTCGGCATCAGTCGCGGTCATGTTCTTCGGCTTGGGCAGTTTCTCGCTTTTCGCCAAGCGCTCGAACTCAGCGTCGGGAAGAAGAAGAGCTTGGACGAGAACAATGAGCTGCTCTGAGACACTCTCTTGTATGTTGAAGGGTTCGCTGGTCGCAATGTCGTATCCGCTGTCGACAACACCCTGCTCATCCAGGTAGTCGATTCTCTTTCCGAAAGTCGGTGGGGCGAGTTCCCGAGCTTGTTGGATCACCAACTCGTGCGGAATCTCCACAACATCGTATTGCGCATAGTTGTCTGTGATGTAGCCGTAGCGCCGAAGAAGGTCAGATCGCGGTAGAGCACCATAGTCATTGAAGATCTCTTCGTCCGCATGAATGGGTTTGATAGCCTTCATAGAAAGGAACTCTTCCTCGTAGAAAAGCCGTGCCTATCACGGTGTCAGTGACCAGCTAAGGCGTGGCGAAGAACGTAATACAAAGCTTTTCGCAGCCTTTGCTTCGCATCGAAATGCAACAGGGAATGAATAAGACGCCACTGGTGGAGACTTACATTGTTGCGGTCGGCATCTGCATTCAGCATATCTGCCAAGGGCACCATGCCTTTCGGGAGAGCCTCGTCCTCATCTTCGGAGGCGTACCCCTCCTCGTCGACTTCCTTGTTAGCGACTGCGGGCTCCACATCGAAGGCGTACGCCATAATGAGCGTGCCCATAACATGCATCAGCTGCAAGTTTTCCGGACTCCGCATCTCCTCAGCGCGCGCCTTGGCATGCTCGTCGCCACAGAAGAAAACGTCGGCAAACTCCTGAATGACGGGAACCAGTTGCGTTCTGAAAGTTTCGTCGGCCTCCTCTTTTCCAATCTTGTCTCTGACCGCGCTAGCCTGGAGCTTGTCAAGCTCGTCCTCTTCCCAGAACATCAAGGTGTTGAACTCGGTCGGGAGGACTCGAAAGTACGGTGCCCAATTCGAGGCAGAGTCGTTCTTGTACTCGTAGAGCATGACCAGAATCAGAGAGAGCCATGGCCCGAGGTACTCCAAGGTGGCCTTCGGGATCTCCTTGGACAGGATAGAGTTTTCCACAGAGAGGATACAGGAGCGTGGGACTCGGAAGAGAAGCTCGTCTTCTTCTATGTTCTGCACAGCGACTACCGGAGTGTTAGTGATTCGGAAGAACGGCGAGTTGAGGAGGGCGGGGGAAGGGAAACTGTACCCACACCACGGCCGCAATGGCTAGCCCGTAGGTCTCGCAAAGCAATTTTTGGGTTGATAGCAGTGCCGGTCTGCTCCAGCCATGCCAGAAACTGCTGGCTGGCTCCGTCGAAGTCTGTCATATCTGCGAAGCGTTTCTTGAAGCGCAGTGGCCCGCCACGGTTTTGCACTAAGTAGTCGTACGGCAGGGGGTTATGCAACGAAGAATCGGAAAACGGTCCGTTGTTTGGAGACGCGGTTCGGCTAT